AGTATTTTATTTATTATACAGTATATTAATATTAATAAAATTACCTTTGATTTGGTTAATAAAAGCTGTCCATTCTTTCTTGCAAAAGTTCTCAAGCCAAGTTATCATTACATTATTGACTAAGTCTAAAGTAGTCTAATTGTTATATAATATTTTAAATAATTGCATTAATCTTGGGCCTGCTATAGTAAATATATTAAGTTTTTTTAATGCAATTATACTGGAAAATCTGGGAATATTTATTAAAATGTCATCTGATTCTATACTTCTTTTTCTCTTTTTTTCGTAGGCTATATATTTAATATTGAACAGGTCGTATTTCATTGAGTTTATTTCAAAGAGTTGATTAATTGAGGTTTTACTAGTCAAAAGTGAATGCACTTGCATTGCCGATTTCATGCCTTTAGATCTAGTAGCAAAGTTTGAAACCCATCCCTTCAAGAAGGTATAGGCTTCTTCAAATTCTATAAGAATCTTAAGGACATGTGTCTTGTCACCTTCGAATGAAATAAACTAATATCAACCTTATGAATTGATTGGTAACACGTTGTCATAAGTGTTGAGAATATTGATATTTGGTTAGATACTTCAGTATTATAATTTAAAAAATAATTAATACTAAGACTAGACGGTAGTCTTGGTACTCTTCTTAATAATAAGATTTCATCTTGTATATTTCCAGCTTCTTCTATTAACGGAGGTATTTCCTGTTCTTCTATTAATAGAGTTACTTCTTGTTCTTGGAATAGATTCAGTTTGAAGGCTCCACGGATTAATGAAGTATTGAATTAGACTGAATAGGTAGAGTGTCTTTGTTGGATTACTATTTTCAAAAAATTCATTATGTTCCTGTAGTACTCCATTTTTTGGACCCCAGAATTGGGGTCAAAAAATGAAGCTACTACAGGCAATCCACTTTGCAAAAAAAGAAACTCACGATATAAATTAGCTGTTTTGAGCTTATTACTATTTAAAAGTCCATTTTTTTGGGAATTTTCATATTCAGCATAAAAACCCAAAGTGTCTGTCGGATTAATATCATCCCGGTTTGTACATATGAATTTTGGCTATTCGAGATTATTGACCACTTCTTTAATTACTTTATAATTTGCTGGTTCGAGAATGATTTGTCCATTTTCATTCTTTAATACTGCTTTTCCTTTTTCGGGAAATACTTCGATCTTTTTCAAATTAGATCCGAGTGCTACTGCACTTAGTGCTAAACTACAATTTACAATATTCAAATTAAATTCTTTTGCCATTCGTTGAAATCTTGTAGACTCAAAACTGCATGGTAATAAAATTTGTTTCACAGTTTTAATCATTAATTCTAAAAAAAAAAAAATTATATATTAATTAATTAATTTTTTTTAATTAGTTTTTTTAATTAATTTTTTTTTAATTTTTTTTTCTTAATTTTTTTTAATTTTTTTTTTTTATTTATTTATTATATACATACCACTATTTCTTGATGTTTCACATTTACATTTTTTCTTTCTCCTTTTTTCTATGATGCTAGTTTCTTTATCCTCTATCTCATTAAATTCCGCCCTATCTATCTGGTCTGCCCCTTCAATATCTCCTCTATACATTTCATCGACTTCCTCTTCAGCTTCATGGTCCATCTTTCCTTTATACATTTCATCGACTTCCTCTTCGTAGTCATTCTCTATCATATTAGCATCTTCTTCTTTATCATTACTTTTTTCGCTGTCCTCCTCCTCTGAATTTCAATTATTATCATCACCTAAATTCTGCTCAATTTCATCTTTTTAACAACAAATGAATTAGTTATATTAGCAAATATAAATAGTATAGCATATTATATTAATTAATTTATACCTTCGTTCAATAGCACCTTTAGTTCATCAAATTTGACCTTATATTTGTCATTGCCTTGACTAGGCACTTCACTAACCTCAAGTACCATATCTAGTTTGTTAGCTGCCTCACTTTTAAGATCTGTCATATCTTTACTTGATTCTACAATTTGAAAATTAAAAGATCTTTTGGTTTCGTCCGAGTACATAATTATGACCTCATCTCTCGTAAATCCAATTAGCTGAATCTGTTCATCCGAATGGTATAAGGACAGTAAGTATATACATTGCATCACGTTACTATTATAGCATGCTAAAAAAAAAATTTAAAAAAAATTAATTAATTATAATAATTATTAAAACACTAAATAATTTAACAAAAACCGAATTCGGTTTTTGCTAAAAAAAAAATTAATTATTAAAACACTAAATAATTTAACAAAAACTGAATTCGGTTTTTGCTAAAAAAAAAAAATTACCCATAATTTTTTTGTTTTAAGATTTATTACAAAATTAAAAAGAAAGAGTGTGAATTTATATATAAAAAGAAGAAATTAATCAGGAATTAAATATTAAAATGAGGTAAGATTTAAAGAAATTAAACGATAAAATTATATAATTATGTGTTATATTTATATATGTATAAGTGTAAAATTGGTTCAAACTTATACTTTATACTACATATACAATTCTTAATATCGTAACTATATTAATTGTATAAAAAAGCTTAATTCAAAATTTTGTGTAATTATATTTGTATAATTATATTTGCATAATTGAAGCTTCTTACAGGTTACGTATTAACAAAAAACGAATTCGTTTTTTGTTAAAATAGTAAATTACTGATTTTTTTTTTTTTTTTTGAATTTTAACAAAAAACGAATTCGTTTTTTGTTAAAATTAGTAAATTACTGTTTTTTTTTTTTTTTGAATTTTAACAAAAAACGAATTCGTTTTTTGTTAAAATTAGTCAATTACTGATTATTATTATTTTTTTTTTTTTAAATTTTAACAAAAAACGAATTCGTTTTTTGTTAAATTAATTAAAAGTATTAATTTAATTTTTTGAATTTAACAAAAAACGAATTTGTTTTTTGTTAAAATTAGTAAATTACAGATTATTTTTTTAATTTTTTGAATTTTAACAAAAAACGAATTTGTTTTTTGTTAAATTCAAAAAATTAAATTAATACTTTTAATTAATTTAACAAAAAACGAATTCGTTTTTTGTTAAATTAATTAATTAAAATAAAAAATATAAGAAGTAGGCATATGAAGGGTTTAACTTAAATACAATATATATTGGTCAATTAGGCCGTTCAAATTTGGTTAACATAATCCCCTCCTCTCATTAGATGCCTCCTGAAAATTGAACAACTAATAAAATTCTTTCAATAGCATAATTTGTATTGACTATTTATGCAATAAAGTGTTTACTCAGAAGTTTTTATATGTCATACAAGTAGTATAATTGAGTAAAAAGTAATGA